AGATTATCACTGGGGCAACAGACGCAAAGCTGGAGAAGTAAAAACGCGGACAATAATCCTAACATTAATCCTAACATCAGTTTTTTTTTTTTTTTCATCTACAGCTTTGCGCCTGATGCACGAGGTGTTCCTTTAGAGCACCCCCGCACTTCCAACGTGGATTAAGTGTCTAAAGTTTACAAATTGTAGCCCTCGATGGCGCTCAGCGAGTTTGTTTCTAATTGCGACCATATGTTTATTTACACTAAATTTAAATTTAATTCACGAATTTGAGTTAACATTTCGATTCTTCATGACAATTATCCCCCTTCAATATGTCCCTCTGACCGCATAAATCACTTGCACAAACAGCATAAACGCATCTTTTACGATTTTTTTTTTTGGGGGGAGGGGGGGGGGGGAGACAGATTTGTTTGAATTAGGATTAGACACTGTATATATCTTCCTTGTTTGAAATAGTGCAGTATTTAATGCTGTTTTGAAAATTCCCTTCTAATAGCTGATGGAGACGCTGAATAGCACCTTCTAGAATGCTATTACATTGACTTAAGAACCTTCTATTTCCTTTTCAAATTTGCAGTTTACGTGCAATGGACATCGGCTGCCAGGAAAGCCAACGGAAGTGGCTTGGCTATTGGATCATCTACGTGCTCATAAATAGTTTCAACTTTGTTTTCGTGAGCATAGAGAAACATTTTAAGCGAATCTACATTTTGAAGGTACGCAACACTGCCTGTCTGCCTCGTCTGCCTAAACAAGAGCTACAAAACAAAAACCTACGGAAAATACGCGAAAACGTTGGTAGTCCGGACAGGTGTGAACGCTATGCGTCATGGGCAGGCAACGATCGAAGAAATCACGGAGGTGGTCGAAGTTTGTGAAAACAATTTGAAATGCAAAAAAAAAAGGAAGCTAAATGTTTAAAGTCGGGGTCACACTGCTCATACGTCATACAAACGACAACCTGCAAATACGCGTCACCGCAAGATCAGTGGTTCAAACGTGCACGTGCCAAGTTTCTCCTTGAACTCATTGCCATTGCCATGCGGCATTCGAAGCACGGATCTCCCTATGACTAGCATTCGAATGTGTCTTTTGTATGATGTATAATACCCGTGTCCCAGTAAAGCGACAGACATAGACAAAAGACAGCGACAAGCCTCAAACCCATGCAGCATGCTCGCGATGGTACCTTTGGCAGGCGTTTAGTCGTTCGGTGCTCGTGAAGTAAGCACGAGCAATTGCAAGCCTGCCAAAGCCCCCCTCGCATGCATGATGCTCGTGTTTGAGCATAGCCTCCTTTAAAGCCTCTCAATCAAATCCCGAAAGACTCTGGTTAGAGGCTTGTCGTTGTCCTTTGTTTCTGTATGTCGCTCTAGTGGGAGACGGTCATAAGCTACAATTTTGTCTTTCGGCTAAGCGTCACCTTCCACGTTGAGGCATTAATTGGATCCCTTTGTAAATAAATGCATGCTATAGTACGTTTTATGAAATATTGCACGCAGCGCGTCCCCAGTAACGCAATACTTATGGTTCAACATTTTTCAGAGCAAATAAGTAATGGCTTCCATTCCTTCCGAGCTCCAAACCGCTAAAGCATCACTTATCTTATTTGCAAGGATGCTAACCAGCTTCTCTGCAAGTATGCACGCGAGCTGTTTAGGTGCTTCGGGATTCGATCTTTGTGTCGTCTTGTCCGTTATTTTATGTCTCTTTGTCTCAAGGTTTAGGTTATTAAGCTATTTTATTTGTTCTACCACCAAGTAGAGTGCAACGGTATTTAGTTGCTTGCCTTGACAAGCGTGTTCAACGCCAAGCTCGTTCTCCCCCTGGCTTGCGCTTCATTTTGTGCCACTATCCAGGAGCGCCAAAAGCACGAATGAGTGCGGTCATAAAACAAGATGGACACAGTGTTGCCGCCATATTTAGTTCACCATGACAACTTCCTTACCCTTTCGAGAAAAAGAACAAGCAAAAATCAACCTTTTGCTAACTCGGGGTTTGTTGTGCTTTTTGTATGTCTCCTCGGTGTTTTCGTACTTGTCTGCTGCGGAAAGATTCCCCGACTCAGAGTTACGACATAGTAACATGTCACCTTTTGGAACAGGGAAACTAGGGATGTACTTAATAGACCATGCGCGAAATGTAGAGCGCCATTTAGTAGTGTGTCAAGAACTACATCCGCCTTCTTGGTAGCGCTGAGGAAATGAAACGAGTGACCCGACCGGCAAAGACTCCATGTAAACAAGCGACCGCCCTTCGTGCGAGAGATGAGATGGCAACGCGTTGCTGCGCTCCGCTGCGGATGCAGCGATAAACCTTGGATTCGTGCGTGACGTTAATGCAAACGTGAACATGGCTCACAATTTTTTTTTTATTTTTATTTATTACTTTAGACGCAGCTTTTGCCAAATCAATCGGTGAAAACGCGAAGAAACATGCGGAGGTTATCGCGCGGCGTGAAGCCATTTACAACGGTTGGACTATATAAGCCCTAATCTTTTCACGAAATTATACCAAATTTGTTTCTGAACTTTTTTTTCCTCTATGCGCGTTGTAATGTTGGTTTGCGTTTTTTTGGTGCGGAAGCAGCTCAATAACGTATGCGGACAAGACCAAGGAGGCAAAAAGTTTACAGTTTTAATTTTCTACGCCACCAACCGTAATTGAACATGCGCGTATGGTTAACAATGGACAACAAAAGCTGAAAGCACCACACAGCCCTGATGCTCTGTGGTGCCGTCATATATATATATATATATAAAATAATTACTTTGGAAAGCTAGAAAACAATCTCATTGTTTTGCAGCGATTTCTATACACTTGATCTGGGGTCAGTAAACGAGGTTTGTAAAACACATCTAAATCTAAACAGGAGAGTATGTTGATATATTATTCTTGAATATTTAAAACGTTGTCATGTAGAATAGAAAACACAGGAGACACCGACGACGCGTCTGTTTGCTCAACACTCACAGAGATAGGGTTTCGCTGTCTTTTTGTTGTCAAATGCCACGTTCAATTACATCGAACGTGGAACTCGATTTAAGTTCATTGCAGTGGCTAAAACTTTAATGTCGGCGGCAGCGAAACTAACGTTGCGGACGTCGAATGGAGCTACACGGACGGTGCCAACTTTATTTCACAACCCCCTTTTCTTTTTTTTTTTCTTTTTTTTTTTGTCGCAACCGAGGTAAAGGTTTTGTCTAGTGTAAAAAAGCTCAGGGGGTAGTTTTGAGAAAGTCAATGCAGTTCATCTGCCAGGGTTAAAAAAAATCTTTACTGATAGCGCAACATGCGTCAACTGTGCTTGAGGTCAATGCTATCCGAAACCAGTTTGAGCTCATGCAACACCTGAAAAATATTGCTTAGGGCACAGTTTCCTTAAAAAAACACACACAAAAAAAAAAACACAAGACATTCCGCAAAAAAATGAAAAATAATTCGCCAGTAACAATTAAAAAAAAAAAAAACACCTTGAGTCGCATGTATTGGCGTGGAGCAGTCGACCGCTAAACAGTGCGACTTCATGCGTATTCGCAACCTCAGAGATGAAAGGCATGGCGGCCTAGTTCTTTGTCCACGTTGGTTAATCGGAAGTCAGAAAGCAATAAAGTTTCCGAATCGCACTTAGTGGCAGAGCGTCCTTGCCCTGGAACTGTAGAGAAACAAAAACTCAATATAAAATGACGCTATCAAGATAGCCGTGTGCACAGTGCTGCCGCCGGACCACCAATCACTTCCGCATATCGTACGTGATTCAGTTAGTAAAATGTGACTGTGCTTACTTAGTTCCTGATTGGTTAAAGAAAAATTGTACTTGGTTCCTTTCAGTTCAGGTAACGTACCCTTGTCTAACGTTGTTGTGGTACTGGCGCAGGTTTTAATTCTCGTGTTCTGCGCCATCCCGTCGTCGAAGTGCGGTGCGGTGCTTGTTTCCAAGTTCCTTGCCAACAAAATATTCAAGGACACAGGTGGGACATCGACGGACACCGTGGCCTCGATCATGGCCACGCCGCAGAAGAAAGACGATCTTGAGAAGAAAGACACTGCGCCCACGCTTTCCAAGAAAAAGAAGAAGTGATGTACCGTGTGCCCTGCGAGATTTTGTTCACTTACTCAATATATCATATATTTTTTCGCTCACGGAGGCTTCTGCAGCCTGCAGGTGGATATACTGTCCTGCATACACTCGACGTACTAATCATCGGTTTTCCCTTGATCAGTCACGCGACGAGGGCGAGTGGTATCGTGCACTAATGACTACTCTGAGTTTCGATCTTGGAACTTCCTATCGATTGGTATCTCAATCATATTTGCAGCAGAGCAAAAAAAGTATATGCTCGGGGTAAGCCATCACCCTCAGAAGAAAAAAATGGTATAGTTTTACGCCTTTGTCCTATATAGTACACCCCAAAACAAAGCAGAAATACTCCAGCTTTCCAAGAGGCTCAATTATGAGGGTTCGTACACTGAAAGTAATAGTACATTACACAAAGAATAGTTAACAAGGAATTAGAGATACGCAACACATACAAGCATATTTCACCCTAGAGTAAAGTTTCAAGCCAACAGCAGAAAAATTATTCAGTAAGTGCGAGCAAAGGAACGCCATTTTAGTTTGAGATAAGCAGCACCGCTACACAGTGCGGTACTGCTCATCAAGCCATGAAGGTTTTTTTGGGGGGGAGGGGGGGGGGGGGGGTATGTCTTTTAAATTGAGAAACTGATAGGATGTCGTTTAATGTGATCAGATGTGAATACAAGGTTAGCTTGGTTTATTACTCGCACTAACTACAGAAATGCAGACAAAGACAAGGTGACAGCTCCGAAGCAGCCTACACTGACCGCCCGTTCGCTAGTATATCTTCGCACCTGGCTACTCTCTTGGCTTAGCTATAGCATGCTCGTTGTCTCCGTCTATTTACGGGACTCCACGTTCAAAAGCTGCCGACCACACCAAGAGTGGAACTTGACTTTAGTTTTTTTTTTTATTTGTTTCAAATGAAATCGTATTTTCTTCTAGGAATTTGGGTCATGTTGAAGACCGGTACTGCAACCGTGTTTGTCACCGACACTGCTGTGGTGACATAGACGATGTGAGTGAAGAGGCCCAAGATCGCCTGAAACGAACACATTTTTGTTCACGTTACACACCTCCTATGCATATCGCCGAAGCGAAACGTACCTATAATCGTCTTTATCTCAAGGGCTGGATTAAAAAAAGTCCGGCTCCTCGCGGAAACTTGCCAATTTTTCCCTTCATGTGTTGAATTAAGACGTGCAGCCTCATAAATACAAGGTTCTGTACTTACGCCCCTTGTCCCCTTTATAACACCCCCCAGAACTACATTTTGACGTTCAGTTTGCTGATTTTGAACCGATGTTACCAACTTTCACAGGCGACATGATAGTCGAGCGATACCAGTTATTAAATTAGCTAATGTAGGCATTAAACACATCAGGAAAACACTCAAGGTTTTGTTTGCCCCGCTGCAAACCCTCAGTGTTTTTTTTTTGTTTTTTTTTCTCGGCAGTGTTTGGTACGTATATGAGCTACTTAGTGAGGATATAACAAAGCTATATCGCTCGTAAAGGTTGCTTTCGTCAGTTCGACGTCTGTGAATTGAACGTCGAAATGTAGTTTCCAGGTGTTATTTACGGGACAAGGGGTGTACGTACAACACCCTCCACTTTTGAAATTATATGTAGGTGCAACTTGTATAAGCATTGTTTCGTTTTATCAAGACGAATACCACGTTAACACGCCAAAAGCATCATTTATTCTTTTGAACAGAATCTCGTAAGATATCGCGCAGCGCATAAATGATGCCCACAACTGCTCGTTTTTTTTTTCATGTTACGAATAGAGCCGCTAAAAGGGGAACGCAAGCTCAGCACATATTTGTACAGAGGGCAATAGCAAAACCTGAGAAGAAAAAAAAATTGAAAGCACGAGGTTGACAGGTATCAGAACGATGCCTGTCTACCTACCACGTACGATGATATGGAGGGCCCATATTGTATATATTCAATAATTGCGGGCACCTCGGTCGGGATTCGAACCCGCCACATCCGTAGGCCAGCGCTTTCGCCTCGGAGCCACCGAGGCGGCTCGACCAAAGTCACTTGAACCTGGGAAACTATAGCGACAAGCTGCCTGTATGGTCGCCATTTTGGTTCATAGAGTGATCAGTTTCTTCTTGACTTTTCTATTCTTGGTGAGCCTACCTACATTTTCTAGTGACGAGTAGCTTTACGAAGACGCTTCTTTTACATACCGAGATTGTGCTATCCACACATTTTCGAAACAAGCGTACAGCTTCCTACCGCCTCCGCATGCGACGTCGGTGCCTGGAAACATTGCAAATTTATTTTCCTCGCTTGAAATATGCTAGAAGAGCAATATTATTCTAACAGATATGTGGAGATAGGCACGACTGATAAGTTGACTGCATGCACAGCGCCAAAGACGCTCACATTGACAAGGAACGCTTTCAGTACAATGATGTTCCATTGCGATATTGGCGCGGCTGGTTCAGAACGACCGTTTCGAAGATTTGGATGAACCAAAACGAGCAATTTCTATGGTAACTGAAACCAATTAGTCAAGCATCTTGGGTGGTTTTGTCGCACGCATGTTAGTATCTGCGTCTTTCCGGCTTGCAGGCAGGGAATAGAATGAAGCTACTTTTCCATAATCCGGTAATTAAAAAAAAAAGATTAAAGAGGTTTTAGAAAAAGAAAAAAAGTATCATTAGGCGTGAGAAAAACCGAAAAACCAGCCGCTGGGTGTGACGTCATATTCGGGGGTTTCAGATGCCTTGCGCGTGCGGCTTGTGAAGGGAACAGGTGCAGCGTTCTTGACTGCAACAAAGGCTTACAGAAGGCTTGGGAACTTTGAGATCCATGTATACACCTTTCCATGAAAGCGTTTGAGGGCGCGTTCATTGCTGAGATAGTGTGTTAAGCACGCGCACTTTCTGCCTGGCAGCGATTGCGAGCGAGCGCTGGCTAGTCTGTGACTTAGCACGTTTGGACTGTGATTTTTGTAAACAGTGGAAACGTCTATAATACGACACGAGTACCTCCTCCCACCTAACGCGCCGGAAAGAAGGCACTTCAGCGCTAGATTGAGAGTAATTTTTTGGCTATTTGGCACATCGATCCGAAATGTAATTTTGATATTCGTGATCATGGAGGCCCAATAACGACAATTTAAGTGTTTTTTTTTTTCTAATACAGAACCGCTTCAGTTTCTATTTAAGCTTGATCAGAGTCGAGCCAGCGGTGCACGACACGCACTCACAGAGCGGCGAACCACCCCCGAGACGGTTTTATGGAAAGATGTATTGGGGCCGAGATCTTTTGGTGGCTCTCCGTGACGTTAGAACAAGGATTTGCCTGGTTGTCAAAGTTGTGATTCTCACTACATATAATAAGTCACGAAAGTCAATCTCAATATTGTGTTTAAAATGCACGGTGGAAGCTTTTGAGTCATCGCGTTGTCAAGCCAACACCGTTAACGTGTTGGCATTACATATTTTTTTCCGGCGACGTAAGGGAAATTAGTCGTACTAAAATCATCATAGTGAGCTTCTGGCCCTTCGCGAGAAACCAACCACAGCGACGTGTTTAATCGTGCTGGTTGCCAACAGTGGCAGCTTGTACCGGGCACGTGCTGTGAACAACGCACTCAAGTATACGCATCTCTTGGAATGAACCACCTCTTTTAAAAGGGGAAATTTCCTTCATGTATTAAAGTGTTGGTCGGGTAACAAGATGGTGGGAAGAAATTTCAGTTGCATACCAAGTTGCCCTTGCTCATGCGCTCCTTGGCCACCAGGAGGTTGTTGCCCGGAGACGCGACGGAAAAGAAGAGACCCATCGAGCAGGACAGCGTCACAGGCAACGCAATCTTCAAAGGGTGAAACTAAAAAAATAAAAGATAATAATAATATTAATAAGTATGCAGACGCCAAAACAATTGGCAGCGACATTTACTTCTACTAGGGCTAGGCACTTACTTGATTAACCAACATATTAATTAGTTAATGCATTAATCGCAATTAATTTTTAACCTGTTAATCGGTTAAATTTTGACTAACAAAAAAAATAAAGTAAAAATGCAACGCTTTTACTCTATTTACAGTAACAAAAGATTTCCTTGAAACAGTACACCTGTTTCAAGGCAATCTTTTGATATAAGGTAAACGGCAGGGGCGCGATTTGTAACTTCAAAGAAGTTAAGAAGGTTATACGAGTCCCAGCCACTTCAACGCCGTGCGAGTGTCTATTTAGCAGACCGTTGGGAACAAATAAGGGAGTTTGGTATTGCCCGAGAATATAAACGAACCTCTTTGCTCCTGCGGCTAAAATAATGATTTTTGAGCGTGGGTGTCATTTGACTGTCCTCAACTACACTTCAAGATTGATTTAATATCCGAAATTGTACATTGCGCCTTTAATCACATATTCAGAAAAGACAGAAATCGTAACGATAATAAGCCTTGGAATTTGCCTTTATACAGGTGTACTCGTTCACATCTATGTGGCGTTGAATTCTTACTTTTTGTTTTGTTAGTCTAAGTTTGACCTTTTTGAGCTTTTATAGATAAAAATAAACGAAACCGACTAATCAAATAATTATTCGATTAAGGTGTGGCGATTAATCGGGTTAAAAAAGTTTAATCGACGCCCAGTTCTAATTTTTATAAGCCGCCCTGTACTCCACAAAATGCAGCCGTTTAAGGTACACTCGTCTAAAATTATTCAGAAGGCCTTAAACCGTCGAGTCGAGGAGTGAAAACTAAACTGGTGTCTAGGTCTCGTGGAACCAACTGAATTTGTGTATAGGTCACGTGATGTCAGGTCAGGTTACATCAATTTACCCGCCGACTTTGGCGGGGAAACTGAGTTGGTGCATGTATCAGGTTATATCATGTTGGGTGGCACCAACTGACGTCACATCATATTAAGACAATTTCAGTCTCCCCGCTAAATTAAGCGCAAAATGCAAAGACGGACGGGCGGACAGACACAATTTTGGGATTGTGGGTTCCGTTAAAAAGCATTTTATGCGTTAAAATGACCTCGATTTTTGTTTTTGAAGTTCTGTAATGCATGAAATGCGTAATTTAAAGAGGGGTCGTTTTAATTTGTTTAGACCGCATTAAATTACATGAAACTCATTTCAGAAGTGAAGAACCTATATTATTATCCATTCTAAAATTAAATATATCGAAGCAACTCAAGTGGTCACGTGACAATAATCTCTGCTAAACTTAGCGAGCAAACTCGATACGTATATAGGTCACGGCGAACTCACTCACCTCAATCCGGTCATTTGACGGATCGAGTTGAGTGGGTTCGCCGAATTCGAGAAACTGCGCTAAATACCAACGAAATGTGGCCTCGTGGCACCGCACGGAAAACACTCGGAGCGAGGTGCACTCGTCCGAAGCGACGCAGATTGGCCCGCCTGACAGGGAAAGGAACGGATTATTGGTCCCTAAGAAAAAGTGGGGGTTAAGGGAAAGACGAAACATGAGCCCTATAAACGCGCATTTGCGAAAACCAGCGTGTCTGAATAAGCCAGCAGAAAGGCGTGGAGTGTTTATCCTGTCAACCTAGTTGTCACCGTAAAAAAAAAAAAAAAAAAAAAAAAAAAAAAAATATTAAAAACATTTTTGTGTCAGGAGTTTTCTTTTTTTTTTTTTTTAGGTGGACTTGCTGGAAGTGGAACAGAGAGCCGCCGCACCTCCCAGAGGTGCCAAAAATAGAAAAAAAAAAAAAAAAAAAGACAGCTGCAGTTTCGAAGCAATACCTGATTTGGGCACTTTATGGTCCCCCCCCCCCCCCCCCTTACCAATTCATGTCCCTGCAAGAACTTTAGACACAGTGTCATAGCACTTTTTTTTAATTCCCTCCCCATCCTCGCTCAAGAGACTTTTCCGGAGATTCCTACTGTACGCCAAAGGCGGTCCTAGACATGGGTTCTAAAGGGCAGGGGGGGGGGGGGGGGGCGATAATTTAAGCGGCGGGAGCTACGTGAAAGTCGTGGCGGACGACGTCCCCGTGGCCGCCGTGTCACATGGTACCGCCTAAACCAAAAGTACCTCAAAGTGACGGTTACCATCCCCTAAAGATAGATGACAGAACTTGAAATGATCTGTGGGGTGTGGCTGGTGTATACATCGTCGAAGTCGACTACCCACTTCCAGTGAACAAGAACGCTCCCGCATTCTTCAAACGAATGTCAAAAAATTTAAAGAAAAAAACGAACGAAGAAGTTTGGGGGGAATGACCGTTCCCTTTGCTCCGCCTCCCGCCCCCCCCCCCCCCCCCCCCCCCCTCTCCCCAAGACCACCACTGCTGTACGCTCGGACCGACTCTAAAAAGTGATGGCTGATTCACACATTTGCGTCGAGTCCACGGTGAAAGAAACACACTTAGGTGATCACTTTAGCCGCTCTCCCCGCGAGGAGCGGGCGACCAAATCGTGTTCGGAGCTAGAATCGAACCAGGAGTAGTTAGTTCCGCGCCAGCGCGGAGGGCGCTGCGGTGTGGGATGCCTCCTCGGCGGCCACGGTGTCGGCGGCGTAGCGTGCTCGCCTTTTTCGCAGTGTGCTGGTGTGGTGTTGTGCGACCAGTGGCTGACCTCGTGTTTTGCTTCGGTGCTGCGCCGATCACAGGCGCCACCATCGTGCACGACGGTGAACCTTAACCCGAAGAAGAGGAGGAAGGGGACACAGATTTACGGACTCTTGCGACTTGGTGGTGGCGTGGGGGTGGAGAGGTAAACAAGAAGCGGTGAGCGAGTGAATGCGGGACCACCGCTGGGACAAACAACCGGAGCGGTCAGTACGGGAGGGACGCGAGGGACGCCATACTTGGGCGCCATCTATCCCCGTGCGAGGGCAGCGCTCGGTGCGCCGAACATAATGTGGTCGCCGCGTCGGACAGAGAGTCCTCACCTAAATGTTTCTTCCACCGTGGTCGAGTCCGACCGAGTGCAAAGGTTGCCATGGCAACAGCTGTGTCGGCTCCAACAAAGCGGGGTAAAAACCAGTTTTGTTGAAGCCGACGGAGTTGTTGCCATAGCAACCCTCGCGTTTGTTCGGACTCAACCACGGTGTAAGATACACTCTTTAGGTGAGGACACGGCGGGGCTGAACGCGCGGAGCGAGGAATCAGGTAGTGTTCGTTCGACGGGCATCCGAAAGACTGCATTAATCTGCGGGCACCGTGCCCGCGGCTGACAGTGTCGCCGGCGGCCAAACGGTGAAACTGTGTAAGAGCGAAAAAAATTATCTTGTTGCCATGATACCCCGGTACACTGTGGTCTTTCTGCACGTGCGACAACCTCGCTGGAGCTCTGCGCGTGTGGAGCATGAGGCGGCACGAGCCGCCTTTGCCGTACCCACGGGTCGACGAGTCGTCTGCCGGTGCCACTTGAAACCATAGTGAGAGAGTGAAAAGCGAACTTTATCTGCACTGCGCGAGGAGCGCGCTGTCCTCACCTGAAGAGTATTATCTTACACCGTGGACTCAACCCAAGTGTGTGAATCGCGCTTTATCCAAACCGAACCAAATTGCGGTTTTCCGGTCCCAGGAACCGCAACATCCTTGCGACTTCCTCTACGCGTTGCAGGTGGCATTTTTACTGTTCAGTTTGGACAGTTTGAAGAGCTAGAGGCAAGCCAGCCGCATTAAAGATATGATCACGTGGTTTTATTTCCCTCGCGTAAAGCCCCAACCACACGGGGCGTTTTTCACACGCCGTTACCGCAGCAGCGTCGTCGCGTATCTCTCAAGGTAACCCACAACAATGCGACGCGCGGGCCTAGACGCCGAAAACTAGCCGGGACAGATATCGGCACGGAGCGCCGCAAGACGACGCGAGGTGACACTGACGCGGACAAAGCGCGTGAAAAAACATTCCATGTGGTTGGGCCTTAAGACGCGACGCGAAAGGAAAGGCAAGCGGTTTGCGCGCATAGAATCTTAGAAATCATGATCGGATTGTCGTACTGCGTCGAAAAAACGGTATTGATGCTGCGTATTTCCAGTCGCATGAATTATAACGTTTAGTTGAATTACTACTAGGATGCTTAACCTTAATGCTTTGCGTATAACGAAAAGGTTATCTGTTGATATTAACACCGCTAGCTGGGTAGTGGAAGCCACCGCTCGATTTAAATGATTGACTCGTGCATTCAACGCTCCACCCATGCTTTACCCGAGAGAACTCACGTGAGAGTAGTCGCTGAGCTTCACCACGACCGGGAGCACCAGGGCGCAGAGCGCGACCCCTCCGCGAAGCTCCGCCAACAGCGACACCGCGGCGCTCAGGGTAATTTGCAGGGAGATCGCCGAGAGCCCGAGACGGGCCGTCGTGCCGGACATCAGCAAGGCCACAAGTTCCGTTTTCTGGAACGTGCAGCAGGGAGCGAGAACCTCGATATTCGTTCCAGTTGGTACATCAGCTGTCAACTTGTAATAAACGTTTCTTTGATAAAAATATATGATTGTTTTTATATCTCATTTCTTAAGAAAAAAAAGATCGAAGTTATTTAAAAAAAAAAAGAACTAGTAGTCTTTATTTCTTAAGCAATAACTTGCTTTAGTAAAGCCTGAACATTTTCACAACATTAGGAAACAACTAGTTTTTACTTTTACTTTCCAGAAAAAAGAAGTCCGCGTTTTCAGGCTTAATTAACACGATAGAAAAAAAAATATCGATGGGTAAATATATTATTCCCGCGATTCGGAACTTTTATAACAATGCTTAGCTGCTATATCCTCTCATTAGACACCAAACAAAATGAAACGTTGTTTCATGTCGCGAAGCTACCGAGGCCACCGGCAGCCTTAACTGCAATGAAAGCTAAATTTCATGTAAGCGGTTTAGCGAACGACGAGACGAGTAACGGCGACAGCGACGAAAGTCGGCGACGAGCGACGGGGATTTCTTATTGTCGCTCGTCGCGTTGCACGGCTTTTGGATTTCTAGAAAACGTCGCTCAATGCCTTGGTCGCTTTTTCCCGTCGCTTTCATGCGGTATGCCTCGTCGAATGACTGACCGAGCGACAGCGAAGCGGGTCACCGTTGCTTGTCTCGTCGCTCGCCAAATCACTTACATGCTGTGTATACTAGGCTGTCTTAATATACCGAAAGATGCCCCGCCCCAAAAGATATCCCACCCTTATTTGGACCTAAATTTCTATACTTGTTTTTTTCAGAAACACAAAAAAGGCAGCACATTTCTAGTTATAGACCCTTTTCAAAGGTCCATCAAGCAACATTGGCAGTCGCCATTGCTTGCTCACGAAGCGCCTGATTGGAATCGAGTGCTCGCCGAACTCTGACCCGCAGCGCTCGTGTCCAATACGAGCTGCGCCGAGTTCACGCTGAACGCAGACGTAGCCCTAGTGTTCAATACATGCTCAGAGTAGGTGAGTTACCAATGGCGGACAGGCGTTGGCACGGACTTTTGAAAAGGGTCTAAAAACCTCGGCCGAAATGGAGTGAGAGAGCTACGGCGGGAAATAAGCTAACATTGCTAACTGACGACAGCTGTCTATGCTCCATCAGCCCTCAAAATAAAAACAGGTTTAGCAAATCCCAAAACACGCAAAAAAAAATAAATTATTAAGACCTTTTTTGATCGCACACCGAAAGTTAGCCCCCTCTTTACTTTCGCCCAATTTGCTTTCGCTTTTATGTGGGCTATTTCTCGGGATATTACGGTAGTCTGCTGACTCATCGTGCAACTACCCTACCAGACACATTTCGCCGATATATGAAGTCATAGTCGAAAACAGCTTTAGGAACGCCGGGCGTGGCCTGTAATGAACACGCCACTTGCCTCGAGATTCGTTCGCCGTTCTTATTGGCTGATGCTGAAAGTTCATTGACTGCGGAAAGATAATAAGATACCGGAAACTCGCCACACCTTGTGCTTCTTAATCTCTCATTGGCTATAGATTATCATAATACCTCTTTCAGACGGGCTAATTTAGTGCACTTCAACAAAGTGCACTTCAGCTCACCAAAGGTCACTCGAAGTGCTTCGGTGCCGCACGGGATAAATTAGAGTCACTCGAAAATTATGAAAATAATGATGGGTAAAGAACTATTAGACGCCTAAAATGTTAAAGTAAAGCCATAAATATATTGAAAATATTTAGTATCTTTTATAAAGACTCGTTTAAAGACAGCGTTATGTTAATTGACAGTACTTACAACATCCGCATGATTAAGATCAATTACCACGAGCCAAGATTTAAAAAAATAAGATATAGAAAAAGCAAACTTACTTGAAGTCGAGGGTATTCTTCAAGAAAAAGCAGTGTGGCACACTACAGAAATGACACTAAAGGCGAAGTGTACTCCGTTGAAGTGCACTAAATTAGCCCGTCTGACCTGGGTATAACTCTCCCTGTTACATCTCCACGTCGGATGTGCTGGATGTACCGCCTGCATCAGATTTTGTATTTCTTCAGTAAGCTATAGCGTATACTTTGCAGTTGCTAACCTGCTAAGTAAGAACATGGGATTACGTCTCAAGCGGATCACTTTAGCTCTCTGCCTCAACTCGCTTCATCGGTGGATGGAAATAGAAATTATTCGATTTATTGACTGTAAACTAGAGCCGTTACCTTGATGGCGCTGTTCAGGGCGAAACCGGCTCCCATAACGAGCAGCGTGCTCCAGGGGATTGCGGCTTCTGCCTGGTTCCAGAGCGCGGCCGCTTCGACGTGCGACAATGGCGCCCCCGACAAGAAGGTCACCACAAAGAAAATGGCGAATAATAGCGGTGTGGGTTCACCGATCCACCTGCAACCAGATTTATATTAAAGCAAATATTTTTTAGGATTGGTGCACTCCGATCGCACGGAAAGGCAAAAGAGTTCTCCTGGGGGAATTCTGTGAATGAATCAGAAACGTATAAGTTTCATTCAGTATAGGCCAATTTTTTCGAAATCTATCATTTTGCGGCGTATGTCTAGCTGTGTTCAATTTCAGTGTCACATTATTTGAATCTCAGGTCCAGCGGTAGAACCGTCATGTTGATCCACATAAAGGAGTTGCTAGTGGTCCACCTAAAGGAGTTGCTATGTATACCCTGCACTCTAAGAAAAAATGGAGGAAAAAAGTAGCAACGGCGCGCCTTCCTCCCTTCTACCGACGCGCCCCCAAGCGGACACGAGAAAAGGGGAGAAACGAAACTTTTTTCTCCTTCTCCAGGCAGACGGGTGAAAGCTTTCGCCCTCCCGACTCATCGTCTTTCGGTTTCGTTTTTCGAGCAGGTCGCGCACGTTGTTTAATAAATAGCTGTTGAGTTGATTGAGCTTCAGCAGCAGCGAAGGCCGCCTGTAATTCCGTCTTCTAGTCTAAACGTGCAAAACATTTCGGTTGCATTGACGTTTTTATCACTAATTTTATCAAACGAGCAAACGAAGCCGCTAGAAACAGCGAAGTTCCGGAATAGTGCCAGCAGTGCCACGTACACTGGGGGATGGCCGTCTCCGGATTGTTTGACTCGCGCGGCACGGAACTACAGCCGCTACAGCCACTGCAGCACTACAGACTACAGTAGCGAAAGCACGCGGAACTGTGTCGACGTTTTCGACGTTATGGAAACCGCAGGAACTGTGTCCGCTGTGTCCAAGAAAGGCAGGTTTTGCTGCCGGCTGCCTGGGTGCCTTCCCCCCTGAGTTCGGTTCTGTTTTCCGATGCCGAGTGCAACCGGCGTTCAACGTGGTTCTGTGTTTGTGCGTGTCAGCAACATAGCTGCAACATCGTGATGGCAGTGTTGTGGGTTGTGAACGGAAGACTGGAATTATCGCCGATGTGACCGTGTGTTCGCGTATCAGTGGTGTAACAACAAGAGGAGATCGTAAACGGTCGGGCATTGATGCCGCTGGTCGGGCCGTGATCGGAGGGGGCGGGTTGTCGCAGTTTGACATTCTGCTTTACATTAAAAAGTTTAATACCGCTTGAGGGATTACGTGCAATCGATCAACGTGCGGATAGTCATGTTGGAACGCTGGTCTGAGCAGTATAAGCTCCTATCGTACAGTGGCCAATGTGACTGTTGGTTGTATTGTCCCCGAGAGCGATTGCGCTCTGGGGCAAGGACAACAGTACGAAATTGTGACGGAAAGTACGTATATTTACAGTGTGGAATTTTAGCATTAAAAAACAATAGTAGGTAAAATCGAAAAAAAAAGCTACCATTTATTTTGCTGTTTAAATATATACTACGGTTCCTGGAGAAACTGCCCTCCAAGTGGCACGCTAGGATGAGCGCTAGAAGTTTTCGGGCTCTCCACGGCGTAGCTCCGTACACTTAACACCTGCCACAAGTCGCGGCTTTGACTGCATTCAAGTTGATCGAAAAGCGATTTCTCAGCCCGTGAAGCATCACTTCCAGCTGAGTGAATATCCGCTCTACAGAGATTAATTCAAGACGGCAATTGCAGCTTTGCGCGAACAGCAGAAATAGAAAAACAAACACTACAATAGAAATACAGGCTACGACGCGCCGTGCGGGGAAACAAACTCATGGCTTCGAACCGCATTGGAGCGGTTTGATTTATTGCTTTCAAATAATTACGGCGTGATCGAGCGTTTACTTTTTAATAAGAGATTCATCCCCTGAGCCATTCAAAATACTCTCAGAGGTATGACATTGCTGGGAAAAAAATCAACATGCTGGGAATGTTTTTTATTGCTTAGGGAGTCACCGAAAAGTTCCGCACGTTCAAAACGACCAGTATAAAAGGCGGAAACGTAGAACACGGGTGTAGTGTTCGGGTTAGTGAGGTGTTCTGTTGTATTGATATTTGTGTGTGCAGTGCATGTGCTTAATGTATGTTCACGTGATGCTTGTAATAAGTGTAATGGGTGTCATGTGTGTATAGCAGAGGATCCTCAAGCGCATTAGTGTCCTGAGAGAAGCAAATTATTTTTTGTAGAACATGAATTGGGCGGTATCTAGCGCCACCTAGCCTAGCTACTTGCAATTACTCTGCTTGACCCCGCCATCTGGTGGCTAGCGATTTAACCTTCTTTCACGCTACGCGATGAACAGCGGCTTCGAGTTTGTTTTTTCGAGAACGGCTTTTGGTTTCGCGGAGTGAGTTTGCCCTTCTCCGTGATGTGCGGTTGACGAAGGAATTGTGACTCGAGGAACACCAAAGGTAAGACGCAAAGTGCACGAAGTAACTCGGTATCGGTTGTCTCCGTTTAACATCGCAGTGCTGTCGACGAGAAGACTGAGTAACTGCTTTCGAAACGCAGGTTTCTGTACCTGTGGGGGGAATCTGGCTTCGGAAATAAACACAGTTTTCGGAAAGATCGTGTTACGCTTTCATTTGCTGCTGCTCTCGTCCCGTACAAGAGACGTAGCGTCCTCGTTAAGCCTTATTGGGCTCGATTTGCTCGATTCGGGGCCGCCATATTGAGATGCAAGCGACGGAGGAACTTTGCTCACCTGCTTCAGGGACGACGGTTTCTCCCTTTCTAAAGGAACATAGGTTACAAGACCGTTCCTCCCGTAAGGGAGGACTATCCGTACCCTTTTTTCTAAGAGTGTGTGTGTGAACTCGCATTGCCGCTGCTGCTGAAACTTTCGTGGTGCTGGGAACTCGTCAAGCTGTCCATGCAGCTTTTTTCCCAGCCCCCGCTATTGTAAAAAATAGTAAATAAACATTGAATTGAAATTACACTGGCCGTTTGACATCCCGATTACCCAGTGGCAGGCGCGCGCTCCAGAAAAAGCGATCACGTCCCGCGCCGAAAATACAAGAGAAATTTTCCATCAGACAGTGCTTCCTTTGGGTGCTCTAAGTGCTATATGCTTTTTGAGGACAAACATTTGTGACTTATCTGAAGTTAATTTTTAGCTTGTCAAAAAGCCCACAAAGCGGAATACCCGGGGATGCGACGTGGCCTTGTCAGACACCTATTTGACATGGCCACGTTGCGGGAGTTGTTTGACTTGAAAATAAAATAACAAAATATCCTCCGATACCGGAATGAATTTTTCTCCAATATCAGAATTTTTGAGACGCCGTCCTGTCTATTTTTTGTCTCTTCCACATTTTAACGTTTTCTCTCTACCCCAATCTCAGGTTAATTAAACGTGGTTAATATTCACCAGCTCGTCTGCACCCTTAGAATATGTTACCAGAATCAGACAGGCTATTGCATGTAAAGCCGTGCTAGGGCTCGTGCTCCACGAGTTTTCTAGCATTTTTTTTCGCTGCAGTAATTAATTACAACGTTTGTGGAATGCAATGAAAACGCCATACAACCTTGCAGAAAGTTGCTGTGAAAGACAGGGACGTTCCGTCTGCATAACGGCGCATGTTCACTGGCAGACGTTGTTTTCTTTGACATTATACAGAAAAGTCTCTCTCTTTTGTCGCTCAACTAGGGCGAGGTCCTTATGGCCTTGCACGGCTGTGGCCAAGATGACCCGGCCTAAGCCGCAAACAAAAACACTAAACTTCTAGGAGCCGCCTGCAGAAGCAAAGGCACAAAAGGAGGGAAAGGGGGGGGGGGGGGCTGCTCTGAAAGGAGCGATAAATGAAACTTTAACTACTTGGGATCTGTCTGTGTCAAGAGCAGACCAACTGTATATATACGTAATGTAGCTGACTGCGAAACCGCAAGCAAACTTTTTATTTAAAACGCGTTAATTTTCTTTTGGGCAAGTGCTCGTGTGACCGGGAGGGAAGGGAGGGAAGGGAGGGAAGGGAGGCAAGCGGGGGGGGGGGGGGGGGGGGGGATGTTAGGTTTACTAGGGAGCCGCGAACCACACTTTAAAGACTTATTCACACGATGCATCTTTTCAACGTGCCACAGTTTAGCGAATCCAACATTTCGCGAAATCGGCCTGTTCACACGTGGAGCTTGACGCGCGAAACCTGTGACGTATTGACTCACAAGAATTTCGCCAAACCTTGTCGTTTGCACCGAGAATACCAAGCGTTTCGCATCAAAATAATATGAAGTATGCACAGTGTGAAGAGACAGTCTGTTTTATTAATACCACTCAATGAACTTGGTCAGATTCGGCTCACTGGGTATCCTAGTCGTGCCAAACGCGGGTAAGAGCGCGAACGTCAAAGAACAGGCAGATGGTCTCGAAGCATTTCGCACACTTTTTGCACCACTAATAAAGAAAGTTATCCCGTCACCATGTTTATGTGCGGTGCTTGCACTCGTCGCGACTGTTGATGAATCTGCACCGCGCCACCAACCCGTACTGTAGGCGCCGTTCACACACCTGCAACCGAGTAGGACCAAGGCACGTCGCCGCACCGCTTCACCGCTTGTCGCTCGCCATGTTTGTTTTTTGTTTTCTTTTGGCTTTGGCTGGGATACGGAATCGGCCAAAAATCAGACTCCTCCAAAAGCTCGCTAATCTTCGAAGGTCAGACGTCATAGCGAAGTCGAGCGGCCATTGCCAGAGTCCGCGTTTCTCCTTCGGGTGATTGACTGGCCTCGGTGAGGTTTCGGCGAAAAATTGCTCCAGAAGCGAGAAACACGCGCCCCTTTATTCGGAGGCGCGCTATTTTTTCGGTCGCGTTCAGACGGGGAATCTGTTTCCCGAAACCTAGTTTCGCGACACAAGATTCGCCAACAAGATGCATTGTGTGAATAGACCTTAACACGCAAAGAGCCGCATGCGAGCGGCAGCTTGGCCACCGCGGGCCTAGCATTATACTATCGCGACCAAAACCAATTTTTGTTTTCCACAAACAAAATGGAATCAGGTTTTCACCATTTCTAGCAACAAGCAACATCTCGTTGTATTGCAGGCCCGGGCAGCTTTCCTTGTCTCCATTTCAAGTTCTTCAATCTTCAAGTTCGCGCAAGATTTATAGTAAGCGGTTTTTGCTGTGACACAAACCAGTGATTTGTTGTCTGTCACTCTAAAAGGACGAGGCTTTTAGGCATGAAAATCAAGCATGGTTTCTCAATAGTTTGCAATTAGGCAAACAAATCAGAAAATGAAGCAGGCTGATAAAGGAAAATAATTAAATTTTCGAAACTTACTCCTTCACCCCAACGTATTCCGGCCACCCTTGCATGAAGGGTGGTGCTCTGAAATACATTCCGAGCAGGGTGATCCCGTAGCAGGCTATTGTCATTGCTTCCTGCCACCTGTGAAACGGGGAGCACAAGAACGTGCATGTTTTCTTACACGGAGTTGAAAAAAAAAGTGCAGAAGCTTGATCATGCTGACAAAGAACGGCAAGCACATAATGTGTGTGGTTTGCGAGTGAGTGTACTGTGAGTGGGTAGGCCCAAAGAAAACCGCGCACATAATTTCATAATGTCACGTGATACCATGAAGTCGTGTGACGTTCTATACATGACGTGTTTAGCGATTCACTTAATGGTCTAACGTGCCAATTGAATCTAACGTGTTTTTCGTAAAAATCGGATGATAAAAAACAAAAACAAATTCGTGTTATTAAGCAGGAAGCATTCCATACCGCGATAGAGATGCAGCCCCAATAATTGTTCTTCAACCATATGAACAAGAAAGAAGGGCGATATCTAACGCCCTCTACGTGTAATGACCATCCAGTATAAATAGTTGAAGTGGTCGCTTTTTTTGTGCCACCGGTGATCGTTGGCTCACAATAACGTTCTTTCATTTAATAGGCTTATTAAAAATAGAAATGCGATGATTGGTGCTCGGAGTGCACTGCTAGTCAACACACATACTAAACCCATTAAAGCCTTGTAACCATACTCTACGCGTTTATACACTTTACACGTTTATTCTGAGCATTAGCTAGCGAAACTTTTTAAAAACAAAAGGCACGAATTAGTTTTTACGTAGCGCTAGGGTGTCGGTTGTTGTGAATTACAAAAAAAGAATAAAACAAAGTGTGTGGCAATAAAAAGCTAATTCTCACGTGAGGGGCTCCAGTTCAGATGCGTGCAAAGCTTGAATCGACGCCTTGATTTCCGAAGCTGCCGGTTCATTCCCTTCGCTAAAAGACACGTTAAACGCTCAAGCATAAAAATTACCGGAAAACACGAGCGAAATTGGTCCTGGAGCAAAATAATTCGAAGCGAAAATGAGCCTATTATTTTTATATATTTTTAATTAGTTTTAGTCCAGACGCAGTCGACACTACGAGGTAACGGGACCAATAAATCAGCGTCATCAGCACAAGAGCCACTAAGCCTTTTCTGCTTATGATTGGTTCAGCAATTATAAAACACGTACAGAAAAATAACGGACGCCATGATGGTGCGCTTTTGATGCGGTCTGATTGATCCCATCGGTTCGTAACATCGGCTACGTCTGGATATAAGACGAAACAAAGAATGGAATAAAAATGTTTTAGAATTCAATGAAGCAGAATGCAACTTACAATTTTCTGACGTAGAAATGTACTAGAAAGACCCAAAGTGCAATGACATTAACGGCAGCACCAACGATGTTGGTCGTGATCCATTTCGAGTAGGTGATCATCTCGGGGTACCCTTCCCTGAAAGTGATACGAAAAATGCAGGAATTCCTGCCTGCCATAACACCAGCTCAGAAGGTTACTCTTTAAAAGCAATTGAGTAACAGGTACTTCTGCCAAGTGGAATCGCGATACAAATATATTTAACTTTGCACAAGTGCATAGGCGGAGCGAAGATGAGAGAGAGGAGAAGAGGAGCGGTGAGGGGGGCTGATCGTGTGGGTTACAAAACTCCGCCCTCATTTTCGCCAACGCAACAGCTACCGCTCTCAATCAAAACGGCGCCATCTTGCTCGTTTGTTTGCAATTTTAGCGGGAAAGCATCAACTGTCTCAATGGAGCGAGCCAACGTCATCAGCTTTGAAACCACGACAAACGGCTCTTAAATCGTTCTTCAAGTCAAGCCAGCTCCCATTCGCCGGTTAGCCACGGCACCTTTTACACCGCTTCGATCCCATTGGCTAGCGCGCGTCGACCAGGATCCCATTCGCCGGACACACAGCGCCATGGGGTGGCCGGTCGTTGAAACTGACGCTGCGCGACAGTTTCAACGACCTACCACCTCATGGCGCTGCGTGTCCGTAGGAAAGCGACAGTCAGCGAGCCAACACCCGCGTTGCCCTAGTTCCCCTTCAGCAGGGATCATTTTCGTCATTCTTGTCCAGCTTGCGTACAGCTTTGCATTTAATTGTAGTATAATAATAATAGACATGCTTTCGCCTTCACAATTCATAAGAAGTGCTTAGGTGTACCTTGATCTTTTTTTTTTCTTTCCAATTTCACTAATTGGCTTACATTTCGAGGAAGCCTTGCAGGAAGACGTTGGCCGGGGCTCCGGTCAGGCAGGCGGGCGAGCTGGTGATCGCTGACAGGACGACCCCGATCAGGAACACCTTCCGGGTGCAGGCCGCGCGATCGTCACCCAAGGACAACCCCTCCGTGGCCGAGGTCTTGTCTGCGTGAGGATAGGCGGGATACCGCGATACCACCTAAAAGACAACACCTGCGCCCTTCGGTCCTAAAAGCAGCCTCGGTGGCTCCGGTGCAAAGCGCCGGCCTATGGCCAGGTGGCGGGTTCGAATCCCGTCCGAGGTGCCGGCAATATGACGGAGGCATGTAGCGGAGAAGGCGCCGTGTAACCGAGCTTTCGGTTGCACGTCAATTAAGAGATCCCCATGTGGTCCAAATTAATTTTCAATCATCCGCTGGGGCGTGCCAGATGCCATTCGTTGGTTTGGCACGTAAAACCCCCAAATGCGAATTTGTTTCCCACCGAAAACTCGTCACTGGTGGGCCCACCCAGCGCGTCGCCATATACCTTGCTTCAAAGTAGTCACCAGCGCGTCCCGCAGCCTCTCACAACCAGCGCGTCGCCAGCACGCGGTTTCGCCAAGACGGTCGCCGTCGGCCGTTTTGCGGTGTCTCTTCGTACTTCGGCTTGTTAGCTGCTTGGTGTAGAGAGGTTTAGTAGACACTTTTGGTTCTCCCATCACGTCATACGCTACTGCGCATGAGCACTGCTAGCGGAAACAATGCGGAGCTGCTGAAGCTTGCGGAGTCTCGCTCTCTGACCAAAAGAGCGAGAGCGTAGCGCGGCGTGCTAGCGTGAAAGAAAGTGCCAGCGAGGGATGCAATTCAAGATGGCCGCCACGCCACGCCTGTTAGGTCTGTCCGCTTTGTCGTAGCCCGACAAAACTATTCCAGCACTGCAACAAGTAGTGATCAATGGCGGACATGCTAAATATGGACGCCAAAAAATCGCAATTTGTGGTGTTGTGAACGCGCTAATGGCCTGAATGTCCAACGAGCCTGAATGTCCAATCGGTCACGTGACAGGCGACACGGATTGTACAACGAGACGAAAGGTCCAATCGAGACGGAATGTACAACGAGACGAAAGATCCAACCGAGAGGGAATGTCTAACAATCCTAAATCTAATTTTTGAGAATCTATTTTTCTTTTTTAATAGTAGGATTACTCATAGTCCCGGCTGTGGAAAGTGCGTTCGGTGAAATGGGGAACCGGAAGTTTCGGTGCGGCGATCTTGGTATATGGTCGTTTCGGTATTGGGCTTTCCAGTACCGGGCTTTTCGATGCACAGCTATCTTGGTGTGCCGCTGAGCTTGCACCCCTGGTGTTGCCTCTGTGAAGTCCCCCGAATAAAATTAAATTTATGCACGTGTATTTTGTAGACTTCATAAAGCCCCAAAAAGAACAATACATTTATTGTTCGTTTTATATATCTAAAGATAAAAATAGTTTCTATAATTCGATAAATGACGTGGAACAGGTCACACATGCGACAAGATCAAAGACCGAACTCGTTGACCATTGACAATTGGTCACGCGTTTGGTTTTTAGAAGGTCGTATCTCTGGCGCGGAAACAAATGTGGGGTTCACGAGAGTTCTTAGGATCGTTATTCGTGCTTATCCCCAGCCACAGTCTTCTTTCCGTATTGTACGGGTTGTTGTATTTTCCTTATTGGAGTCCCTGGTCGCGCAAAGATGACGTCCCTCGCATGGGAGAAAAAGGCTTGATTAGATTGTTGGTATTATTGTTAGGTTAAGTCGGTGTAGTACGAAGAATTACACGAAATTGTAAATGTTTTTTTTTTTTAAAGCGGTGGTGAAAGCTGTGAACATTTTTTATTGGACTTCTCGGTCCCCAAAAACAAAAATTCGATCCTCATATCACAATCAGCGATAGAATACAACGTTCCTTCCAGTAAGCCTTTGTGCGGGTGATGCCCTAAAGTGGTGAGCTTTTGTCCGGTGATTGTCTGGAGGATTCGGCCCATTGACGTTTATCGCGACGATTAGTTTCGCATGCTTCGGCCACCAAAGTGATTGCTATCGCAGTGAGCCATGTGTTAGGCTACAAGTAGGTAATTTTAATAATGAATAAAATAACTTTTTAGAGCGCAGCTCTTAGGGGCCCGTTTCCGGCTTGAGCGGCGTCGGCGTCGCCGTTGGCGTCGCCGTTGGCGTCGCCGTCTGCGTCGCCGTCGCCGTCGGCGTAACCGCGCGGTGCATCATGGGAAATGTCCCATAATGCACCGCGCGAGCCCCCCACCGGGGTCACGTGACCTCGTGGGGGGGCACGTGACCCCCGCCGATGTCGCGTGACCCCCAATGACGTCATCGTCACTGATGACGTCACCGGCATCCACATCGTCATCGTCATCATCACTGATGACGTCACCGGCATCCACATCGTCATCGTCATCATCACTGATGACGTCACCGGCATCCACATCGTCATCGTCATCATCACTGATGACGTCACCGGCATCCGCATCGTCATCGTCATCATCACTGACGTCATCAGTGACGTCACTGATGTCGTCACCGGCATCCACATCGTCATCGTCACTGATGACGTCACCGGCATCCGCATCGTCATCATCACTGATGACGTCACCGGCATCCGCATCATCATCGTCATCATCACTGATGACGTTACCGACATCCGCATCGTCATCATCACTGATGACGTCATCAGCGACGTCACTGACGACGTCACCGACATTCGCATCGTCATCGTCATCATCACTGGTGAAGTCATCAGTGACGTCACTAATGACGTCATCGGTACTCGCATCGTGATCGTCAATGATGACGTCATCAGTGACCTCAGTGATGACATCATCGGCATTGGCGGTCACGTGACCCCCAAGGTCACGTGACCCCCCAAGGTCACGTGACCCCCCCCTGGTTAGTTTAACCCCCCCCCCAGTGCCCTTCCCTCCTCCTCCTCAAGAGCTGCGCTCTAATTCGGCGTTACAGGGAGTTGTAAGCAGCCTTCGTTTCCGTTCTGCCTTTTCTGGTAACGTGGCATGCAGCAATCGCACCGATACGCGCCCAGGCAACATACCGAGACTGCGGTCGGGTTTCAACTGGTTGAAACTCTATCGCAGAGCCGCTGCGACAGTGCGACCTCGATTGATTCATATATGCAAGATACAAGTGCGTAAGTGACCACAGTATCAGGAGGTCAGCTCCTCGCTCGGTGTTCCCGAATCCCGTTATGCTAGAGTCGCCAGTGAACATATTCAAGTAGAATCCGACTCCTATAATTGTGAACGACTCGGGTACGATTCACCACCGGACCCTTGTATATTCTGAGAGCTGCATTTGTCATCCTCTTTTTTTTTTGAAAAGAGGTACTGATTGTTGACCCCCACTGTCCCCGGCTATCTACACACCCTACCCTAATCAACTCTATTCGACAGTTCGACGAGCGAGCACTTTCGCCCCATTCTCCATTCTGCGATTTGACCTAGGGCGAATCGCCCTATTTGACGAATTGTCCTTCTTCCAGTTTTTATTTTATTTTTTATTTATAAATACCCTCAAGGCATGAAGCATTATAGAGGGGAGTGGTACAGCAAATACAATAAGTAAAATGGAATAATAATTGGGAAAGCATACACAAAAGAAGATAAAAAAAAACAATGGTTACAAATGATTAATACACTTTGATACTATATTGTCCACTAGCCTGAAACCGGCAAACACAACGTCTTCTACTAATACAGTTAAATATTCAATCAGATATATTTTTAAGGCAGATTTAAACAAATCATAATTAGTAATAGTGGCTATCAGAGAGGGAAGGTGGTTCCAGTCACTAGACGTACGTGGGTTGAAGGAATAAAAAAAGGAATTAGTGTTGCATGAAATGACTCCTACTTTATGTGGGTGATCCATCCGTGACGACATGTATGAAGGTGATGTTAACAGTTCACCGCGTAAAGTGGTGTGGTGGAAAATTTTATGGAACAAACAAAGTCGTGCGTTTTTGCGTCATGACGCTAGGGAAGAAAGACCTAGGTTAGATTTCATGGAGGATACGCTAGCAGCTCGTTGGTAGTTAGAATATATAAATCGAACCGAGTTATTTTGAATCATTTCCTACTGATTAACGAGAGTTCCGATGCCAGGATCCCATATCGCTGAAGCATATTCTAGTTGTGAGCGCACAATTGTTTTGTAGAACAGTA